AACCCCCCCCCCCCTCCCCTCCCCTAAAACAAAATAGAGGAGAGAGACGGAGCAACACTGACACAGGCTAACAGATGTTTCGGTTTTATCTACGCTGCTCACGCTCTTGATTTATATCCTTCATAGTCGTGGCTTTGACGCATTCTTGCTTCCGAAAGGATGTAATCTTCACCTTTTTATTGATTTTACGTCTGGTGTAAGTTTCAAAATAATTTGCATTTAAAATAACAAACTAAAGGTGGCGCGATAAGGACTCCTAGTTACAACAGCGATCGTGATTGGCTCGTCGTCTTTTGTTTCCGAGAAAAGCTAAAGATAGAAAGTCACAACATTTCATTGCTGGGTGTGGAGTGCATCGAAGGTCATTTTGCCTTTCTTGCTAAAGACATCATGGATCTTACAACGCTATTTTACAATCTTCGTGAAGAAGTGTCTTGCTCGGTGTGTTCGGACTTATTTACGGATCCTAAACATCTCTCCTGTCTGCACAGTTTCTGCTTGAAGTGTCTGAATCGATGGTACGAAACGTGCGGCGGCGGACAGGCCATTAAATGCCCGAAGTGCCAAACCCTAAGCAGAGTGCCTGCGAGCGGTGATCTAAAAGATCTTCCAACCAGTTTCTATTTGAACGGCTTGATCGATGTTCTTGCCATCAAAGAATGCAAAAATACTCAAGTGACATGCGGAAATTGCGAGAAGAAGTTCTCCGAAGCTTCGTATTGTTTCCAGTGTTGTATATTTTATTGCGAGCATTGCTTAATATGTCATAATAGCATACGGGACAAAAAAGATCACCGCGTATTGGCTTTAAAAGAATTCCAAAGCAAGGACTATGAGGATGTATTGAAGCGACCGGTGTTTTGCTCAAAAGAAGGACACCAGAAAGAAGAACTCAAATACTACTGCAAAGAATGCGAAACAGTTCTTTGCCAAACTTGCGTCACTCTGGATCATGGAGGTCATGTTTTGAAATTAATCGACGAAGAAGCTAAAAACAAAACACTCGAAATAAAATCCATCCTTCAAACGCAAAGAGAAGGATTAGATGCGAAACTGAACGTAATTGCTCAACTAGACGAGGACTGTGCTAAGCTGATTCAACAAAGTGAAATCGCCAGGAGAGATGTCCAAAGGTTTGCTGATGGCTTGATCAAAACAATTCAAGCAAAAATGAAAAATATTATTACCGCTGTGGAAAACCAAACGAAGAAGTCACTCGAAAGTTTAGTAGTAAAAAGAAGTGCGATTCAGCAACAGATAAATGCCACCGAATCATCACTGAAGGAAGCTAATAAACTTTTAAAACGAAGTACCACCACGGAAGTTTTTCATCTTAAAAAATCATTACAGGCAACCTTTCATGGATTTAATGAAACCGAGCCTATTGTTCATGACCCCAGTAGTCTAAAAGCGTTTGGTTTCGTGAAAAATCAGAAGATGCTTGATGTCGTCAACGGCGAAGAACTTGGTTTCTTGGAAAAAGGTAATCGAACAAAACCAAGCGAATCTCTGGCTGAAGGTGAAGGACTGAAAGAAGGAACTGTAACGCGTAAAGCTCAATTCAATTTGATCACAAGGAACGAGGAGAGAAAACAGTGTTATGATGAGAACGACCGTGTCACGATAGAGATGAAGGACGAACAAGAACGAGAATGCGTAACGGAAGTGCAAATAAATAATAACGAAAACGGAATCTACAAAGTCACTTATTATCCCAGAGTTCACGGGACATTGAAATTATTAGTTAAGGTAAACGGGGAACATATTTCTTGTAGTCCTTTTACTGTGATTTTAAAACCATTTCAAGTCAAACCTGTTTTATCTTTTGGAAAGAAAGGCTCAGGTGATGGAATGTTTATGAATCCTCTGGGGGTGGTAGTGAGTGATGGGGACGAAATAGTAGTAGCTGATCAAGGCAACCATCGGGTTCAAGCGTTTGACAGTAATGGTACTTTCTTAAGATCCTTTAGTCACTCAGGTAAGAATGCTGGAGAGTTCAGTTACCCGTATGGAATAGCCATTAATAAGGACAGGAATATTTTTGTAGCAGGCAGTAATAACCGCAGAATACAGATCTTTAGCTGGGAGGGGAGGCACCTGGGTTCATTTGGCGGCAGAGGAGGAAGCCTTGATAGTCAGCTCTTTGCTCCTGGGGGTTTATCCTTAGATAGTACTGGTAATGTTATTGTTGCTGATATAGTTGACAAACTGATTAAGATTTTTACCCCGGATGGTAGGTTTGTAATGAAGATAGGTGAGCAGGGTTCTTTTAGTTTTCCTGCTCACTCTGTTCAGTGTGGTGAATATTTCATAGTGTCAGACTCCTCTGAACACTGTATCAAAGTATTTAACAGGGAGGGGCATTTTCAGTACAAGTTTGGTAAGCAGGGGNTATGTGCCGCCCTAAAGTGTTTGAGGCCGTTTCGGCCTTAAAAAGGGTATAGGACGGGTACAGTAACCCCCCCCCCCCTCCCCTCCCCTAAAACAAAATAGAGGAGAGAGACGGAGCAACACTGACACAGGCTAACAGATGTTTCGGTTTTATCTACGCTGCTCACGCTCTTGATTTATATCCTTCATAGTCGTGGCTTTGACGCATTCTTGCTTCCGAAAGGATGTAATCTTCACCTTTTTATTGATTTTACGTCTGGTGTAAGTTTCAAAATAATTTGCATTTAAAATAACAAACTAAAGGTGGCGCGATAAGGACTCCTAGTTACAACAGCGATCGTGATTGGCTCGTCGTCTTTTGTTTCCGAGAAAAGCTAAAGATAGAAAGTCACAACATTTCATTGCTGGGTGTGGAGTGCATCGAAGGTCATTTTGCCTTTCTTGCTAAAGACATCATGGATCTTACAACGCTATTTTACAATCTTCGTGAAGAAGTGTCTTGCTCGGTGTGTTCGGACTTATTTACGGATCCTAAACATCTCTCCTGTCTGCACAGTTTCTGCTTGAAGTGTCTGAATCGATGGTACGAAACGTGCGGCGGCGGACAGGCCATTAAATGCCCGAAGTGCCAAACCCTAAGCAGAGTGCCTGCGAGCGGTGATCTAAAAGATCTTCCAACCAGTTTCTATTTGAACGGCTTGATCGATGTTCTTGCCATCAAAGAATGCAAAAATACTCAAGTGACATGCGGAAATTGCGAGAAGAAGTTCTCCGAAGCTTCGTATTGTTTCCAGTGTTGTATATTTTATTGCGAGCATTGCTTAATATGTCATAATAGCATACGGGACAAAAAAGATCACCGCGTATTGGCTTTAAAAGAATTCCAAAGCAAGGACTATGAGGATGTATTGAAGCGACCGGTGTTTTGCTCAAAAGAAGGACACCAGAAAGAAGAACTCAAATACTACTGCAAAGAATGCGAAACAGTTCTTTGCCAAACTTGCGTCACTCTGGATCATGGAGGTCATGTTTTGAAATTAATCGACGAAGAAGCTAAAAACAAAACACTCGAAATAAAATCCATCCTTCAAACGCAAAGAGAAGGATTAGATGCGAAACTGAACGTAATTGCTCAACTAGACGAGGACTGTGCTAAGCTGATTCAACAAAGTGAAATCGCCAGGAGAGATGTCCAATAGGGTTCTTTTAGTTTTCCTGCTCACTCTGTTCAGTGTGGTGAATATTTCATAGTGTCAGACTCCTCTGAACACTGTATCAAAGTATTTAACAGGGAGGGGCATTTTCAGTACAAGTTTGGTAAGCAGGGGCAGGGGGAGGGGGAGTTTAATAATCCACGTTTTCTGTCAGTGACTCAGTCAAAGCACCTGTTGGTTTGTGATCAAGGAAATCGTAGAATACAAGTCTTTGAACTAGATGGGAAGTTTGTCGGAAAATTTGGAACAAATGGCAGCAAATTAGGACAATTCAAGGAACCATTCTCAGTAGCTGTTCTAAGTAATGATCAAATTGTTGTGTGCGACAAAACTAATAATCGAATTCAAATATTTCAATAAAAATTGTCCTTTCTTCCCGGAGGAAAGGAGTAAGCAAATCTCTCTTTGATTAATAAATAGATTTGTCAGCTTTACAGCAGTGCTATAATGTTATTGTAGGCAAGTGAAGCCACATTTAGTCCGAGGTAAAACCTTGTGGTCTTAAATAATTCAAGTTATGTACATAACTTATTTGTTAAAGGAATGAGTTAACTTGAATATTCTTTTAATAAAGTTCTGTATTCGATAAAAGATTTTTTCTTTAATTCGTACTAATATTCATTCTGAACCAAGTTACAGAAAGGTGGCAGTGGTGAGCTTTTTTAAAACAGAAATAAATTATTGCTAAATATCTATTTGTGCTTCAAAAACTTACATATATTGAATAGGCAAACTTTCGAGGAAGGACATGTAAAATTCATCTAACGACCGAAAAGTGAGGGGAGGGATTTGAATTCAGCTTTTGACGGGGAGTTGAATGACTGAAACAATGGAATATTAATTAAGATCGACAGGTCATCATTGCCATTTGCAAAATCAATTAGAAAGTGAAAAAATCAACGAAAACCTTACAGATGCCAGAACAGATTCTCAGCCTATTGAAAAGGCCAAAAAAGAGTTAATTTGATAGAAGTTACCCAAATACGGAGATTTTTTTACCAAGAAAATAGCGAAAACAATACATTTCGTAATAAAAAGACAGCTTAACAAGTGAAGAATGAGTGATATAAACAGTTCTTAACAGTATGCAATTACGTAAAATTTCCAGTGCAATTCATGTCGCTTTGGAATCACTCTTCTTTAGCAACGTACCGTTATCAACTGTGGAAATGGCCTAGCTTAAACAACAACAACAACGGCGAGGGCAACGAGAAGGTTTTTTAAAAAGCAAATCGCCACTTGTACATCTCCCATAATGCACCTTATTTGCCCCCCCCCCTCTCCCCCCCAAATTTTGCATAACCTTTGATTTTCATTTCTCCTGGGTATTACAGCCGTCCCAATTCAAGCTGAGAGAACCCTTGGAACGAGGTTACAACGAGTTTCAGTCGAATGGTTCGACTGCAAAGTCTTGAACATTTTGTGCTCAATCATATGGTAAAGACCATGGAAAAGTGAGTCAGACCTGTATGGAATAATAACAATGTAATATTTCAAAACCTCATAAAAAGTCCGGCAAAAACTCCCAGTAACTCCCTACATATCCCCCCCCGCCCCTCTTTAGAAACGAGAAGGGAACTGGAGCCGAAATGGGTCGCGCAATCGTTTCTGGGATCGTGACTGGTGACGTGCCGGTCAGCTATTGGCCAATTTTTTTCCCCTTCCCTCGTAAGTTACTCGGCCCGGTTTTCTCCCTTCTAAAGCAGCGAACGACAGTTCGGGTTTGGAATTTTGGAAGTTCTTTTATTCTTGTTTTGTGAGATCGTTTGTCCTCTTTTCGGTCGTGGAGACAAAGAGCACGGAAGGATACAGACTTCAAACTAACAACATCATTTATTGAATTTCAACTATATTCTATGCAATATTTGGTGGTGTATAACCCTTGAAGCCCTAATAGAGTCTACCATCTTATTTTTCGTTAGAATTTTCATGCCTAATTACCTCTAAAGGTGAGGTTTAGTCTGTTCCAGGCGTTCAGATAGTAGATTGCGCGGGAAAAATTCAAAAAGGAAAAAAAACAGGGCCCCCCTCCGTTTTCCCGGTGTTCAGTTTAACACGCTCCCCACTGAACGCCTGGAACAGGCTAGGCGAGGTTACACGAGACGATTCGCAACGACGATGTTTAGCGCAACACAGCGTTACAACATTTTTACGAATAGTTGCAACATTGTTCCAACATTGCAACGCTGTGTTGCGCTAAAAATCGTCGTTGCAAATCGTCCCGTGTAACATCACCTTAACAGTCATGAGAAACAGGAAATATCAACAAAGAAATTCTCCTCATTGGTATCAGATTGGAGAGAAGTGCAGGGAATATGGATACTGATATAAGGGCTTTTAGGGTTTATTTACCATTCTACTTGTGCTTAGCACTTACATTCTATTCCTCAATACTTCAGTTCTAGAAAACTTTTAATCATCCAAGTTAAATGAAAGTGTTGGCATTTATTATTTACTTTTAAAATATTCTGAATTACTATTTACTACTTCTTCGTGCAACAAGGAAATAAATTTTCTTTAAAAGCTAAAAATTAGCCCGTCTAGTTCATAACGAGTAAATTACATCTAATTGAAATTACATTTGGAACTGTTGCACTCACGGAATCAAGCATATTCGTTTTTATTTCCAGAAAGGCAGGCAATCTTTTTAAAACTTGAGTGAGGAAATCCTACAGGCATACAGTGCAGTTGACAAAATTTACACACCACAATCTAATAAAGCTTTTACAACTGTATGAGGCTAGCTTTTGGTGGTTTGCAATTGTGACGTCATGGTAGCCATGTTGTGGTCAAGAACAATAGCGTTGCTATCCGTTTCAAAAAAAAAATTTATTCTATCAACCACCAACATGGCAAACTAAGAATTGTTTTAGAGCACTTCTTATGTCAGAAACATTCGTTTATTCTCGAGGAGACTTTTTGATGACTAACATAAGCCAAAAGTCTGCATTTCCGAACATGCCTGGAATGAAGTCTATGAACGCGATGCTTGACAGTAAAATTTAAACCCAATACTTGCTTTCTCTTACCTTCCTGATAAGATGTCTATTCAGTACATAAGAAAACGCGACAAAAAGCCTAGAAATAATATTAAATAATTCTTATAATTCATTATGAAAGAAAGTAACTCAACAAACAAGTTGCAAATGTTGGTGAAGTTAGCTTTTGTACTCATTTGATTTGCGCGTGCCCTCGCCACAAACGAAACTAAACCTCTAGCTGCGAACCAGGATTGGAATACACCCATGATTCGCCGTTTAAAAAATCCATTGTTTAATTAACCAATCAGGTTGTAAGGAAATCCAATCCAATTCGTGTGTCCGTTGAGGGTTGAGAACCAGCATTTCAGCGCTGTTTCGCAAACGAATTACCCGAGTTTAGATAACGCCTGCAGGCTGGAAACGCAAAATGCCCAAACAAGCAAAAAAGGGCGAAATTGTCAATCTTTTCACGCGCATCTCACTTGCAAAACAAAGTTGTATTTTGGCGGGATTTTCTTGTGTCTCCTTTTATAGTCTCTCTTTTCAAAACGAGACTCGTCCCAGCTCTCTCGGCTCTTTGGCTTTGGTCGCGTTATTTCCCAACATGTTGCATGTTTACGGCCAACATAATAAATTATCCCTTTGACAATCTTAAAAGTAACTTTCGTTCCATTTGCAAAATAGCCATTAGTTCTAGAGAAATATTCCTTTCAGTTAAATCCAACTCGCATTTTCATAAAATTCTTAACGCTTACAAAAAAATCCGGGTGCTGAATTATCATGAAATAAATAGTTGCATTGATATTATAATAATTGTCTCCATAACTAAAATTGCTGTTAAAATTATTTGCTTAAAATCTCATTGACTTGGTACCTTTAAAAACGTCCTGGCAGACTTCTAAAACTCTAAGAACTATACAAACTTATGTAGTATAAGTTAGACAAAATTATTTAAATAAAATTTTTCTCGGATCTGTTTTATTTTTCTAGGTGTGACGTGAAACTCTTTAAGTGGTGGGATTTAGTTTTTTTCGTTAAATCTTATCTGGGTTCTTGGCGGCCCTTTAAAAAGAGAAATAAAAGAGAAAACGTTAGACTGAGGATACGCAATGGCTCCATGGATTTCGTTTCGTTGATTAAGGAACAAGAAAAGGATCAAACTTTTTCCATTGGCAATTAATTTTTATACACTGCCATATTTTTGGCGCATTGGTCTCCACTGCAAGCTAGTTCTACTGCACTACTCGGTTTTGCAATGCTTTGCTATGCGATTAGCTCAAAACTTTCACGCCACTTTTTTATCCAATTAGAAATAAAACCAAACCCAGTCGCAACCGTAAGAGTTTTCCCGCGCTTTACTCACGTGACTGTCTGCACCGTTTGTGATTTTAAAATGGGTGCGTGAACACAATTGGGGGAGAGGGGTAACGACCCATTTCTTCAGAGAAGAAGTATTAAAAATAACACGGTGACAAATTTTAAAAAAGTATAAACCAAATTTTCTTGTTTCCTTTCCCTCTCGTCGTTACCTGAACAACCACTTACCCTGGGGACCCATGATGGTAAGCAAATGGCGCAATGACTGAACTTTGGTTAATGAATCTTTTGCCTGGGTTGTGGACTCGTTCAGGCCCAGATCCTCCCAGCCATATAGGATTGGATTGACGAGGCTCGGCTGTCCTGGGACGAGGTGGTCCATCTATCTGTGAGGCCAATGGACTTCTGAAACTGCAGTTTTAAAATCGTGATCAACAATCTAATTCATCTTTACCACAATAATTCGCTTGAGGAAAAACGTAAGGAGAATCTATGTTCTGAGCATGGAATATAGGCGGAAAAAAAGAACCGCTAGAGCGGTGATGAGCCTTACCTTCTTAAACTTCTACGGGATGCTTGATCTACACAAACGATAAAGTAATAGAAATCAATATTTTTTATTGGCTAAGCACAAAATATTTTAGCCTGTTAGTCTATTCCAGGACTTCAGGTAGCGGGGATTGCGCG